ACCGGTAGGGGGCAGCAATGCTCCCCTGCATCACGTAATGAATGACACCGACAACAAATCAAACTTCAGCCTGTGTGGAGCGCTGGTACCGGTAGGGGGCAGTAATGCTCCCCTGCATCACGCAGCATCCAGGCGCAGCAGCAGCTGTAGTAACCAGAAACACCATTGTTGGTCTCCTCACAGCAAGACGCGAACAGCGCTGGTTTATTCAGATAAAAATAGTAAGGCTACACTTTGCCATGATTTCACCGCCTGCCGTCTCTTCGCCAGGAGCCACGCCGGAGCTGCAATGAAGGTGCGTTAAAAACAACAACCAAGATTCAAGACGTTGTTCGTTAAGGCAGTCGCTAGCAGCAGCGAGCTAACAGTAGCTACAAGCTACACCGGTGTCAGCTAACGGTCATCTGACAACAGCTAACGTTTGCAGCTTCACGTTATTTAGGTGGTTTTAGTTTGTGTTGTTGCATTTCACCGTTTAGTTGATAATTCAGCTTTAGGTTTTCTGTGTTGCTTATGGCAGAGGTGGTTACAAGCTCAAGTCCACGCTTTAATTATTATTACTTTGTCACAAAGAAAGTGCTTGATACTCGTGTTATATTTAGAGTCGATGGAATTGAAATTAATAGAGTCAATGAGGTGAAATTTCTGGGTGTCATCATTGATGAAAAACTAACATGGAGATCACACGTAAAAACCTTAAGAACTAAAATAGCTAAATCGATTGCAGTAATGTACAAAGTTAGAGAGTTATTCAATGATAAAGCAATGTTTCTATTGTATAATGCCATTATTGTTCCACATTTAATTTACTGTATTGAAGTCTGGGGTAAAGCATGTAAAACAATTACAAATCCAATTTTTATTTTACAAAATAGAGCCATAAGAATTATTACCAGAAAAGATTATAACCATCCGTCAAATATATTGTTTCATCAGCTAAAGATATTAAAATTTTATGACTTGGTTGATTACAATATCTTACTGTTTATGTATGGGGCCAACAAAAACATACTACCTACTAACATTCAAGGGAAATTTGTTAAAAGAGAAAGTAATTATTATCTTAAGGGGATGGAGATGTTTGTGAAGCCGTGGTGTCGCACCAGTCTGAAGATGCGATCCACTAGATCTCAGGGTATTAGATTGTGGAATGATCTGGAGGTTGATATTAAAAATGCCAAAACTATGTACATATTCAAGAAGATGATAAAAATATATATATTTTTTTAAATATTAAGTATAATGTGAGTTCATAAAATTGTTTACAGTTGATCTTATATTTTAGCAAAGTTTTTATTTAATTATTTTTTATTTTTTTATTAATTCATCTTGCTTTTGTATAGTAATTTTGTTTGGAATATATTTTGGGGACAAGGGGCAGATATAAGAATTCATTCTTCTTCTGCTGCCTTTCATTTTTTTATTTCTGTGATTGTATATCTTTTTTCTTTTCTTTAAATTGTATTATATTTGTTGTTTGGATGAAATGAAATGAATAAATAAAACATACATACATACAAATGTTGTTTTTGTGGTTGACTTCATCTCAGGCAGGAGCCTCATCCGTGTGGGCTTCATGCTGTGGTCTGCTGAATGAAGTCATGGGTACTGGGGCCGTCAGAGGCCAGCAGCCAGGGTTCGGAGCCGGGGCTGGACCCTTCAGATTCGCCCCCAGTGCGGGGTACTCCACATACCCGCCCTCCAGCTCAGGGAGTCCCAACCCGGTGTGCAAGACCTGTGGCCAGGCCTTCTCAGTCTTCAGGAGGAAGGTAGGTGTCTAGATGAACTGTCTGATGGCAGCACTACATAAATACATATTTGCATACAAATGTGGATAAATTCTGAGCATGGTTCTGCTAAAGGTTTCTTCCTCATGAGGGAGTTTTTCCTTTCCACTGTCGCCTTCATGCTCAAGATGAGAGTTCTGTGATGGAGTTAAACTCAAAGCAGTCTGCTCCTCAGATAAATAGTGTTTTATTATTTTTATATATGAATGTGTCTGTTCAGTGCCCTGAGATGATTTCTGTTGTGACATGGCGCAATATAAATAAACTGAACTGAATTGAAATTTGATGGTATCCCTCCGTAATATTAACACACCCACAGCTGATGTGACTGGACAAAATACTCCCAACAGTCCCAGAAACTTTGGGGCTTGTCCGCATAAGTTTCGGTGAATTCCAGTTTTTGTGGGGGTGTTTGAGCTGTCCTAGATCTTTTTCGGTGGAGCCCATAAAGTGACGTACTTTGACCTTGGAGTTCAGTTTGAATGATTTTTTACAGTCTCCTTGTATCATTTTCTATCATCTGCACTCTCCATCTGATCAACCTGGGGTTGCATTTCCTCGTGTGTCCACATCCTGGGAGGTTGTCCCATGAACATTATGCTATACTGAACAATGTCCTGATGCATGCTCAGTCATCCAGGTAGACCACTCACCACAAAATTTAAGTTTGGTCATAATATTAGCAGCTGTGGTCAGAGGAACATGTAGCTGCTGGAGATGGTCTTGTAGCGTTTATATTTACCATGGAAATCTTTCTGACTACTTCAGACAGCTCTCGTCTTTGCTTTCTCTGCTTCAAGTTCAGTGTTGTGTGCACAACAATATGGCCCATTTCTTCTTTTTAAATAAGCTGATTGGCTGATTAGAAGCTTAAAGGCACATGACACTAAAGTAAAATAAATTAGCTTGAAACATGACTATAATGCAAAGGTTTAGTCTTTAAGGGCACCAACAAATCTGTACAAACTATTTAAGCACATTTTTGTAAAATAAACAATTTCACATTTTTTGTTTTATCACATACCAACAGGCACGTAGATGTACATTAGACTATTGTTTTTACCTGAATTACTTCATAAGAGAATGGAAGCATTGTTGTAATGTGCTGTATAGTACCAACAAATGTACAAGCTGTACAAGCATGATTTCTTTATAAAATAATTCAAATTCAAGTATCAATCAGCTTGACTAAGAAAAACAAATATTTGTCAAAATCATAACCATAAAAAGACAAAGATAAGGAATTCAAAGTGTGGTCAAAGGACCTTGTGAGCCTCACTTCTGTAACGAGAGGAGCCTTCTGGTTCTGCCACTGCTGCTCCTCTGCTGAGCCGAGGAGAACATGTCTACTATTATACATTATATGTAGCTACTAGTTTATTCAATGTGTCCCTTTCCACAGTTCTGAATGAGTCCAGCCTCTTGTCTAGGCCTGTCGCAATAAACAATAAATCGATTAATCGCACAATAAATGATAATTATCTACCTCATTTTCATTTATCGGCTTTATCGTTTCTTCTTGTCTCTCTCTTTCTACTGAAGACACTGGATGACAAAAAGCTCAACTCCGGTGCTCTTCACTGGCCCCTCCCCTTCTCTTTTCTCGTTAAAATTCATTTTAAACATCCAAAATCGCGTTTTTGGATCGTTAAAAGCAGCTAAACTGAGAAGCTAAGCTAACAGGCCGATCTCTGGGGGGGGGGGGACCTTGTCGAAGCTCAAATTCACAGTTGAAACCCGTGCCTTCGTGTAAAAAGTTGTTTTTCTCTGCAAAAAGAAGCTGAGAACTTGTTTACAGATTTTTTTATTAAAAGCTTTGTGTGACAAGTGCTATGCTAATGAGCTCAAACCACACAGAACATGCACCATTCTGAGAACCAAAAAACAGGAACGAGAGACAACCCATGTCACGTCAAGGGGCCTCTCTCCCATTTTTCTTAGATGCGCTGCTCACTCCCTCAGTTTCCATCCTTCGGTTCAGACTGTCCTATACTGCCATCCAGTGGTTAAAAATGTACTACATGCAAAAATAAACCAACATTTCTTCTTAAATTTGACAATTATCAAATTTCAAACAATGTTATCGTTTATCGCAATAATTTCTGAGACAATTAATTGCCCAGCAAAATGTGTTGTTGTGACAGGCCTACTCCCATTAATCATCAAGTTGGCATTTAGGAGCATAAAAATGGAAAACTGGCCACCAGAATGTGATAAAATATGTGCAACGTCTCATCACAGACATCAAAAGACCTTAGCCTTTTCAAGAAGATGATGGAGCTCTACCCCATCAAGTAGCATCAGTGTTTATGGTCTAGCTTGTTATTCAAAATGACCCCCACCACAATGTTCTGTCCCTGTGTGGAGACTAACAAATAAGGAGAACCTTGATCTTTTGAAAACCAGCATTACCTTCTGTATTTTAAAAGGTGTTAATATGTGAACAGCTCCTATAATAGAATTCAACTTTATTGTCATTGCACATGTCACAGGTACAAAGCAACGAAATGCAGTTTGCATCTATCCAGAAGGGCTTAGCAAGAAAAATTAATTGTTAGAAATATATAGTACAATATACAGTAAGTTGCTTTGAATATGCTATAGGTATAAATATATACAGTTTGTAAGTGTACAGACTATGAACAGGTTATAATATGAAGGGGTATAAACTATATAAAAGAAAAAAATATAAGTATGTGAGTACTTATGAACAGTAGATAGTAGATTATGTGTACAGTTTGTACAGTAGTGGGCTAACGGATGAAAGTCCATGTGTTGTTGTTGTGTGTATGAGAATACAGACCGTTGTTGTTATTCAGATGTCAGGAGGCAGAGTTCAGGAGTGTGACAGCTGTGGGGAAGAAGCTGTTCCGGTACCTGGTGGTTTTAGTCCGGAGGCTCCTGTAGCGCCTCCCAGAGGGCAGGAGGGTGACTGCACCAGTCCCAGAAGGTATCCGGTCCCCTTTTAGTACCTGCCACAGGCTGTAACATCAAAGTATTTCTGTATGTGGCGTACAAATGTCTATTTGAAAAGAATTTATTTTGTAGCGAGGTGCAGCATGACAAATAAAATGTATAGAAACAAGTCTCATGATGCTTTAGTTGCACTGAAACAAACACAGTTGGATGCTGTGCGATTATTTTTGTTTTCAGAATTGGAAATTAATACCCTGTGGAGCAGCCCCCCCGGTCTTGAACAATATTCAGCCCAGTCTCGAGGGGTGATTTTCAGGTTCTTTATTTTCTCTTTTGTCAGGATCACTATGATCACCGTGAAAACTAAAGCGTATACAAACATTTAGATACAAAACATGGGCTCATAATACAAATAAATAAACAAAACGTACCTCACTTCTTTCACTGGGGGAATGCAAAGCATAGATTTGTCTTTGTTTCCTTCACACAAACATTTGAGTCCTGCTGACAGTGGTTTTTCATCCATTAGTGCACTGATTGCTGCCAGCTTTTATAAGGCTGGCCCTTATTGACAATGGCATCCCGTGAGGTACAAAAAAAAAAACTCATTGAAAACTACAAATACCATGAAATCAAAACAAAATATTTATGAAAAACCAACACAGTTAATCAAAACAAACATCTATAAACAATCTGCACAATTTGGAAATTAATTTTAAATAATTTACAGTCCGTTACACCTTGGATGACACGGCGGCTCAGTGGTTATCACTGTTGCCTCACAACAAGAAGGTCCTGAGTTCAGTCCCCGGTTGGACCTGGGGTCTTTCTGTGTGGAATTTGCATGTTCTTCTCGTGCTTACGTGGGTTTTCTCCGGGTACTCTGGTTTCCTCCCACAGACTATAAACATGCATGTTAGTCTGCCTTCAGACCCAGGCCTCCCTTGCAAAAGAGATCATATATGGTATTTTCCTGGTTAAATAAAGGTTAATTAATAAGACTTGATGTTGATGTCTTTATTTAAACCTCATTATTTTTACTAGTTGGGCTAAATTGATTTCTTATAATTGCTCTTGTACTGCTGCATGTTGCGTCTCTGTTCTAGCCTTATTTGCATGCGAGTGTCACTAATAAATCTATGATGTTTAAATAAAACACTAAAGATATAGAAGCCTTTAAACTCATTATTTTATGTCAAACAGTTATTTTGGGTCTTTCAGGTAAAACGAGTATACGGATGGGCCTGCATACTGGTGCTGTAATATGTAATGCTCATGTTCATGTATGGATTACAGGCTCTCATTCTGCCCGAGCCCTCTGCTGCACGTGCTCAGCATGCCAGTCGAATCCCCGCCTTGCATTTTAAATGTTTGTCATTTAAAAGAAAGTAGCTCCTGTCAGCGTGTCTCGTGACGAAGAACAGCTGTGTGATTTGACAAATGCAGGAAAAGGTCTGATCAAGTTAGTCAACACGTCAGCGAGTATGGCACGTGTGTAAGATTACATAACAGCGCGTCGTGGGCTAATGGCTCCATTTTGTTTTTGTTTTCTTGCAGTATGTTTGTTCTGACTGTAAGAAGGGCTTCTGCTCGGTGTGCAGCGTGCTTCAGGAGAATCTGCGCACCTGCGCCACTTGCCATTTGCTGAAGGCCACGGCCTTTCAGCGACCGCGGCTCATGCGCCTGCGAGTGAAGGACCTGCGCCAGTACTTGTTGCTGCACAGCATCAACACGGATACCTGCAGGGAGAAGGAAGACCTGGTAGAGTTGGTGCTCCGCCACCAGAGCACCGAGGAGGAGGAGGAGGAGGAAGAAGAAGAAGAAGAAGAGGAGGAAGAGGAGGAGTGTGACCCTGACACAACCAGCCTCTTCCCGCGCTCCATGTTCACACCTACACCTTCCACCACACAGTCTGCCACAGAGCTGTCTGTTTATGACGCCTCCCCTCCTCCTGAGGAGGAATCGCTCAGCAGGAGCGACAGCTCCGACACCAACCAGGTAAGGAGGAACTTTGAAACATCAGAGAACCTCCAATATCAGCTAGATTCGTTTACTGACTCACAAAACTAGCAAAGCCACGTTCTTGGTTTCTTGCCATCACATGGTTGATCTTGTTTATACCGTTCTCCAAATCAACCACCACACAGAAAACTGAAAGTGTTCATCCGTTCATCCAGCTATTGCTACCATTGTAAATCTGCAGAAAATGTAAACCTGAACAAAAGGAGCTCCCACTGGCAGTCGAAAGAAAGATTAGTTTCAATTGGCCAAGCCTACTATAAATACCTGTGTTTGGAACTGTAAGATGCTCCATGAATGGAAGGTACAAGGCATTGTTGTTCACAGCAAAGCAATGGATGTGTTAATGCATGTGTAATCCTAATCTGCAGCGCATTCTTTACTCACCCTTGTGTGTGTTTCCTGTTGTCGTCATGCAGGATGTAGGCCTCGTCACATCAGAGTCTCTCCTCAATTTGGACTCCAGTGAACGAACTCCAGAGGTGTTTTGTGTTTTCTTACATTTCTTCTTAATCTTTATGAAGGTCTTTTTTTGATGATTGAACACATTTCAGCACTTAATATAAACTAGAGAAATTACATTTCCTGCAAAAATGCAGTGTGAATGCTTATTGCTGAAGAACTTGCTCAACAAAACAGCTGAAAACAGCTAAAAACATGCTGAAATTGAAGAACAAACCTAAGTTAGCAGAAGAAATCAGAAAGAACCTTCGCTAAATTAGATTTAAATAAGCAGACATTATCACAAAAATTAGGAAATTCGTTAAAAAAGCTGAAATTAGCAAAAGATAACTGAATACCAGGAGGAAGTGGAAGGAGCTGAAATGAGCTTTAAAAAGTGGAATTAGTTGAATAAAACTAAATTTAGCACAGAACAGCTAAAAAGTAGCTGAAATTGCAGAAAAAGCTGAAACTAGCTAAAATTAGCAGAAAGGAGTTAATTAGGCTAAAAGTAGCAGAAATTACCAAAAATAACTAGAATTGATCTGAAAACGGCTTAAATTAGCTGAAAAATGCTAACAAAGGTAGCTGAAAAACTAGAACGAGCTTAAATTCGCAGAAGAAAGCAGAAATAATATATGTTTTCCCAGTTAGACTGAAAGAAGGAGAAATGAGCACTAAAAAGTGAATATTATGTGAAAAAAACAACTGAATTTAGCAAATAACAGCTGAATAGTATCTAAAAAAGCAGAAAGAAGCTTAAATTACCAGAAATAAACAGAGAGTGCACATTTTTGCTGAATTAGGTTGAAAAAAGTTGAAATGAGTGCAAAAAATGTGAAATTAACTGAAAAGGCTAAAATTAGCATAAGAACAGCTAAATAATAGCTGAAATAGCAGAACAAGCTGATAGGGGCATAACAAGCTGAAATTAGCAGAAAGAAGTTAGAAGAAGCTCAAAAATATTGTAGTTAGCAGAAAGAATTGAAGCAGAATTGGAGCACAAAACAGCTGAAAGTAGCTGAAAAAAAGTTTAAATTTGCACAAGGAAGCTGAAAGAAGCTGAAGCAGAACAAAATGTGAAAGGAGCAGTACAAGATTGTAAACAGATCTAAAGATCTGAAGGATGTAAAATGAGCTCAATTCATTTTCTACAAGGAAAAAAATGGCAGAAAAGGCTAAATATTTCAAAAAGCTAAAGTTACACCAACACCAAAAGTCATAGCAGGATTGTCTTGAAAAAGCTGAACATTTTGATATGATTTGTTGAAATAGCACAAAAATTGTGGAAAGAGAAAAATGCTGAAAAATATACAGAAGAAAAATGAGTCACAAGTGTAAACGTTTCATAAACATTCACACTATTAACGTAACTGCATAAAGCTGCATCATTACTAATATGTCATATCTCAGCCAAAATCACAAGAAAATTGGATTATGAAAGGCAAATAGAAAAATATGTTTGTGTAGAAAAAGCATAATTTATCTCTATTCTCTTTCTAGGCAAGTCCTCAAATGCGCCGCCGGGCCAGAGGCTCCCTCTCTGACATCTCCAGTCTGAGGGACATTGAAGGCCTCACCGTCCGGCAGCTGAAGGAAATCCTGGCCAGGAATTTTGTCAACTATTCGGGGTGCTGTGAGAAGTGGGAGCTGGTGGAGCGAGTCAGCAGGCTGTACAGAGAGACCGAGGAGAACAGGAAATCATGTGAGTATTAACACTGCAAGAAAACACAAATTGCTGCAAAAATGCCCTTGATCATTACCGTATTTTCCGCCGTACACGACACTCTGCCCTATAAGTCGCATCAGTCCGTATTTGTCTAATAAAGTGGAAAAATCCATAAATATTTTTGCTTCGCCATATACGTTGCATCTATTATGCGTCGTGTTTGTTAGGCGTCACCGCTGACAACCCAGAAATGTGGGCCGAACCCAGAAATGTGGGCCGAACCCAGAAATATGGGCTAGTGTTGCGTCAAAAATCGATGGGCTGCCAAACAGTGGCCGCGGGAGCGTGCACGGGAGGACTTTAACAAGAATTTAACAACATTAACACTTAAAAACAGTTATTTGTTTGCTCGAAATTATAGCAAATGTGTGTCAGTGTAACGTTTGCTTAATAAATGCACTTTAATGGTCAAATCAGCTGCATTTCAAAAATAGTTTCGCTGCCTTGGTGCTCCCGGAAGCGTGCAGATGGAGGAAGAAAGGAGGAGGAACGTGGCTCGTTTCTTGGAAATTTCACAAGAAAAACACCTAAACAATTATTTGTTTGCTTGAAATTATAACAAAGGTGTGTCTCAGTTGAACTTTTACTTAATAAATGCACTTTAATGGTCCAATTAGCTGCATTTTGCCAGGGCGGTGCAGCTGGTTTGACGGTCGGTCCAAGCAGCGAGCAGAACCAAGGTGGGAAGACCGTGGCAGGCCGAGTGTGTCATTAATAGCTGGTGAAGATGCTCAGTCATCCAGGACATGGTAATTTAAAAAAAGTTCAAGAATAAAACAAAAAAGTATAAAGTATAATAAATAAAAGTCCAGTTGTTTTTGTCCTGAACTTTTTTGAATTTGTCATTATAGACACTTTTACCTATTACATGATACAACGGCATGCCATACATGCTCCCATCAAGTGGCTGAAAGTGGTACCGCTTAATTTTCTTTTTCAGTCAGAGTGAATGAAAATGGTCATATCTCAGCCAAAAATTGGTTTATAAATATGGGGAAAAAATCCATAAAAATGTTGCTTCAGCCTATAAGTCACAGGGCATGTAAATTATGCAAAAAAAGTGCGACTTGTAAGGCGTAAAATATGGTATTTAAAAAAAGTAAAGCAGTAGATGCACTGTAAGGTGCTGTTGTGAGTTGACTTTCTCTTTCTTGCAGTGGAAAATGTGAGCAGGACTGTAACCACAGGTAAGCTGTCTTGTTGCTTCTGCACAGCCACAGATGCTAGTATAGGGCACCACATCCTGTTTTTAACCATAGAAACCCAAATTTCTCTCTTGCTTCTAACAATATTATACTATAGGTAATAAAAGTAATTTGCAATATTTACTAAAAAGCTTGTTTCAAATGAGCTTCTCATTTGGCATGAGGATGATGTCTCTCATGCTTGCTTTACTCCTCCCACAATAAAGTGATGGCCTTCCCCCCTCCTATCTGCAATGGTGCCGTCAGAGGTAAGGCTGATAAAATCCTTGACTACATAGCTGCGTCCTTTATTCCCCATCAAATTTAAAAAGAATTGCACCATCATCACATCTGCCTTCATTGTATACCTGTTTTCATCGAGCTTCATCAGATCCCTGTGTATGTTAAATGATACTTACAGAGATGGCTTCGTATTGTTTTATTGATTCTGCTGAAAAAAAAAGGTATTTTATTTAAAGCTGCAGTACAGTTGTAGATGTTTTACTTTAATGCACTACTGTAAGATCAGGCTCCCTGTTATCATGTGCTCGTGTGCTGATTGTGTAAAGGTCATCATACTCTAAGCAGCATGCTCCCACCGATGAATATAAATGTGGTTGTCATAGAAAGCATGTGGATGCACAGCTTTCTCAGGCATAGTGACATCTGGGATGAGATTGTGAGCATGACCCTATGCAGATAAAGTGCAGCGTATTCGATGAGGCGTTTTATTTAACTGTTGAGTAAAAGGTGGAACTTGTACATCTCTCTTTACCTCCCTCTGTCTTTTGTTTTGCAGACGGCGAGAACTGTCCGCTGACGATTCAGGACGACAACCTCTGCAGGATCTGCATGGACGCCGTGATCGACTGCGTCCTCCTGGAGTGCGGTCACATGGTCACCTGCACCAAATGTGGCAAGAGGATGAACGAGTGTCCGATCTGCAGGCAGTACGTCGTGAGGGCCGTGCACGTCTTTAAGTCCTAACACACCGCTGCACCTGCTCCAGGCTGCGACTGTACCTTAAACTCAATAATGCAGCTCACAAACTTTGAATTTCTAAAAAAACAACAACAACTTGTGAACGTTTGTATTCCCTGAAATGTAATATTATTTGCACAGTAAAATATAATTTTTTAAATGTCTGATTTCATCAGTGAGCTGATTAGGACTGTGCATTACTTCGAGTATTCTCTTCTTTCTGTCCGTTCTTTTCTTTCTGTCCGTTCTTTTCTTTACACAAACTAAAGATTGTGTGGACAGTCTGATTTAACACATTATCCTCGTTTCTGCGTATAAATCGTAGCTGGTACTCAGTTCAGCTGGGTGTCATTAGGAGCACCTCTACAGCTTATGCAAGTGATCTAATTAGTAACATCCACTAACTTCATACACAACCTCAGAACAGGGAAAAGGAGGCGAGTAAAGTGGGTTCCAAGTATTGGACTTCTGCCCATGTTTCACTTATTTTTAATGTTTTCTCCAGTCTGTTACTGTTCACTGTTAATGCACCATCATTACTCACAACACTGTTTGAATACCACACAACTGTGTGATACTTCCCAAAGGCTTAACTGAACGTAGCGAAGCTAAATAGAAACCCATGAGCTTCTGTTAGCTTGTTCACAGCCTGCAATATAGTAGGCGCTCTTTAGGTAACATTTAATGATACCGGTGACTGATTATGGCAATTTATGGTTTATGCAACATTAATTTTGTTGATCTGCAGTGTGCTTTTAAAAAAAATTATTATTTAAACACACAAAGTCTGTCATCACAGCAATAGGTAACCTCTGCGGTCACCTCTGTCTTACTGGGGACAAAAGGCAAAATCTGGTGCTAACTCATCCAACATTCTTCCCCGTTTCCTTATTTTGAATGTGAAACTGAACGTTTTGAGTTTTGTTTTACTGCTGGTCATGGAACAAAGTGTCTTAAGGCTTTTAATGTTTCTTCTGTCGTTTAGGAGTGGTATTGAATTTGGAGATGTATGGGTTCACTAACACACGTGGTAGAGAAAGTATATCAAGGTAACTTGTTAATGTACATATATTGATGCGTATCAGATGTATATATATATCTATATTTTTTAATTTGATTTGAATTGTGTGGTTCAGATTACTAAAGTATTCCGGGGCGTGGGCTCTTATTTTTATAGGGTTGTGCTTTTTCTTGTTAAGTGGCTAAAAATGTGTTTTAATCTGCGCAGATTTGCTTGAGCACGCTGTTTAGTTTGAACCACGGCATGACGAGCATTACATTTCTTCTCTTTATAAAGACTACTCAGCCGGTCCCCCCACCAGAAAGTACACTTGCTGACATGGTAATGATGTTCTCTACAGAGTAGCGGAGCAGATTGCACTTTTCTTTGAGTGGAAACAATTGTGTGCAAGGTATGGTCTTTGTATGTGGGAACGTTAACTTTATATCTTGATGAATAAAGGTTTTAATAAAGTCTGCATTTGTTTCCTATATTTATTTTTACATGGGAAAACTTAAGCACTAAGATGACACTTTAATTTTTCTGACAAAATTTGACAACTTTGGGTGAACTGATTTAAAGTAGTGCCGGTAGAAAAGTACAAGATGCTGTGTCTTATCAAACCAGGAGTACAAGTATACTAATGTAATGAAAACTACAGGTCCTTCTAAAAAAATTAGCATATTGTGATAAAGGTCATTATTTTCCATAATGTAATGATAAAAATGAAACTTTCATATATTTCAGATTCATTGCACACCAACTGAAATATTTCAGGTCTGTAATTGTTTTAATACTGATGATTATGGCATACAGCTCATGAAAACCCCAAATGCCTGTCCCAAAAAATTAGCATATCATGAAAAGGTTCTCTAAACAAGCTATTAACCTAACCATCTGAATCAACGACGTAACTCTAAACACCTGCAAAAGATTCCTGAGGCTTTT